ACCTGGAAGGCCGTGTGGCCATGTTGTTTTGCACGGAACCAGTATTTGGACCGTTTCTCCCGTATGGTCATTTTTTACTGGCCGGTGGCCGTATTTGGCCGTATCCAGCCTTCAATGTTTCAACAAAATGTTGACACAAAACCGCAAATGACTGTATGGCCATTGTTGTGGCCCAAGCCGTATGGACAGAACACAACGTCACATACGGGTTTCCAGGCATGTTTTCGTCTTTTTGGAGGGGTTTCCCTTCGGGTGCCCCTTTTCCACACGGCCATTGGTCTTGGATGAATTCACAAAGGGCTGAAGTGTGTAGAGCTGAAGTGATGTCGACCCAGGTGGAGCTACTCGTCGCGCGACCAGTGGCCATAGAGGAGGCGGGGACCGTTGAACAGAGCAAGTGGATTCTGCCTGCTTGCCAAGCTCGACTGCACTACCACGGAACATGTCAGAACATAGAAACCGCTTCAAGCTTGCGCTTGCACATGTGCGCTGCTGTTTCTTCGGCCAGTTTTGTCGTTCTTGTTCTCTTCGGATCTCTTCGGGCCTGTTCTTCCAATGTGATCAATACAACACGTGCCTCCAGCCCAATGGGTTGGCACATTTTGGAGAAAGCTGGAACCGACTCCAGAGTTCCCAACGTCAGACGGCAACATTATTGGCATCAGGTTGTGTAGCGACGCGGGACACTTTTTCACAGGCTTGAGAGGCAGTTGCCTTCAGGCGCACACGCACACACACACACACCCACCCACGCACGCACGCACGCACGCACGCACGCACGCAAACACAAACACAAACACAAACACAAACACAAACACAAACACAAACACAAACACAAACACAAACACAAACACAAACACAAACACACACACACCCACCACACACACACACACCTACAGACGCATCGAGCCACAGACAATCACAGAACCACCAAAAGGCCCACCCACACGCACGCACGCGTAACAGATAGACAGATAGGCAGACACATAGAGAGACAGACAGAGAGGCAGGGAGCGAGACAGAGACAGAGACAAACAAAGCAGACAAAGACCACAATATAAAGTAGAGACAAGTAAACGGACAGAGACAGACAGAGAGCCGGACGGACAGAGAGAGGGAAAGAGGGACAGAGCGGGAGAGAGAGACAGATAGATAGAGAGATAGAGACATAGCGAAATATCAAAAAGAGAGATCGAGAGATGGAAAGAAGAAGAGATGGAGAGATGGGTAGAGTGAGGGAGACTGATAGATGGAGAGATAGATGAAGAGATAGAGAGATGGAGAGATACACACAAAAACAGAAAGATAGATAGATATATAGAGAGAGTTGGAGAGATGGACAGATGCAGACATAGAGAGATAGAGAGACAGACAGAGACAAACGGAGAGAGACACAGAGAGAGACAGACAGAGAGAGAGAGAGAGACAGACAGAGAGAGAGAGAGAGAGACAGACAGAGACAGACAGACGGAGACTGACAGAGACAGACACAGACAGACAGATAGACAGACATGCTATCGGACGCATTCCTCGCTCTTCCCACCCAAGACACCATACAACATGCAACGCGCAGCACACATCACGCCCCACATGCCATGCCACACAACGCACACCACACTCCACACACACCACACACCACACAGCACGCACACAAACTGCACTGTGGCGTCGCTGTGTTCTTTGCTCAGCATCGGGCCTTGCTGATTTGGCCTTCAGGTCGAAGTGGTGGAAAGACAGACAAGCGCTAAGGAAGTCCTTCCGAATTCGCAGCAGGCGGGTGGTTATGCTTTTCCGTTGGTCGTGCTTTTACATTCGCTCCCCAGCAAAACGGGTGTTTTTTTTGCGTCTCTTTTCAGCCAACCCAAAAAGACACACACACACACACATCAGACTCCTAAGGGAGAGCGCTAATCTTCGAGTTGGGTCGGGTTCAGCTTGGTGCGATGGCTTCCCTCTAGTATGGAAACCGATACATCCACAAGAAGCACACACAGCAAAGGGGCCAAAAGGACTTTCAGCATCACAAGCCGCCGGTTCGTCAATCCGTCCTGGATCACGTTCCAATGGCGCGGTCGTTGGGCGATGCACACCAAAGGAACCATCGCCCGGTTCTGACGCTCCGTACACACACACACACGCTTGCCGTGGTTTGTCTCAGTAAAGCAAGATGGGATCGACGTGTGTGTTTTTGTTGACATCGGACTGTTCACAACACCCGTACACATTCAGACCCCTTTGAGTTTGGGTTCTCTGTTGCTTCTATTTGGCTGCAGGAAAGAAAGGTGCAGAATTCCTTTCAGGATTTGCTGACGTTTTTTTTTTTTGTAGTGTTTTGGAGGGCTTATTGTCAGAGGTTGTTCTTGTTTTTTCTTTGCACCCCGAAACTAGTCGACACGTGAATCGGTGAACTTGCCTCTTTAAGATGAATCTTCCTCTTGAGAGCTACCTCAAACATTCCACGCGTAGCCTTTCTTTCACTACTTGTGTTGCAGCATCGTTGGCATGCAAAGATGTGAAGAGAGAATCTTCCATGCACGACCCCAGTCGTCGCTTTCGCAAGTTCGGGAGAAAGCTTCCATTAGGAAGGCCCCTGGCCGCTCAGGCCTTCCGAAAGAAGCCTCAACCAGATTGGGTTTCTAATTTGGGAGCCCCACAGTCTGCTGGGGTATTGACTGGCTCAGGATTCTGCGGAGATGTCGATGGCAGACGGTGACAGCGTTATCTTCGACCTAGATGCATCTGGCCGCAAAAGGGAACCATGTCATGACCATTCGCCGCACCGAGTCATGCTACCAAGCCACAGATGGGCGTTGGAATGGCAGATTCTGGATGCCTCAAGCCGCGTGCGCCGGCTCCTGATGGCCGAGGGCTCCTTTTTTGAGGCAGTTGCGGAAAGGAAGACTTCAAGTCATCTATGTGGAAAAGTCCTCTCAAGTCATAAAGCATTTTGTTGCTAAAAGAGTCACCGAGGAGGGTGTTTCCGCGTTTCGGGCGCAACTTGCTCATATTGAGACCCTCGAACCGAACCGTGAGAAGGCAATTGTGGTTGGGCGCACCATATTTTGATACAATGCTTCCGGAGTGTTGTTCTTGCTCGCACCCGTCACGCCCCAGAATCACTCGCTGAGTTGTAATGTTGGACCCGCTTCACACGGCCCCCCCAAAAAAAGCAGTGGGAACAGTCAGCTGGACCCTCTTTAGAGAACATCCTGGGGGTCCAGTACTTTAGTATTGCCAATTCTACTTTAGTACTGCCAAGGCCCCCTCTCAAATTCTCAGTACTTACTTTAGTATTGCCAATTTTACTTTAGTATTGCCAAGGCCCCTTCTTCTCAGCACTTGCTTTAGTATTGCAAATTCTACTTTAGTATGGCGAATTTTAGCAACCCCCCAAAACCGTTGGACCCCAAACAGTCACATTAAAGAGGACCCCTTTGCGTGACTGTTTGCCCGTACTTTTGTGTAAAGAAGTCATCTAAATTTGATGGTTTGCGGGCGACTTGCAAAAATGATTTCTTAGATCTCAGGCCTTTAACCTTTGAGCTGGGAAGAGCTGAGCCAGACCAGATCAGGAGAGTGGAAAAGTCCAGTTTGTGTGTTTCCTGGGCAGGGGGAACAAATCCCACTATTGAGGACCCCCAAACAGTCACCAAATCCTGAATTGGGAAAGCAATGCCACAAGAGAGGATACTTTTCCAATTGGGGGTCTAACATCACACACCTGACCTTGGGCTTGGTCCCAGAAGTCCCTTTCTTCCCTTGTTAGGTGGGGCCAAAGATCACAGTTTTGGCCAATTTAAGGAGTTCGTGGTAGGGGGAACCCTACCCTAATTTTGTCACTGAGGCAAATGACCAGGAGGAAGTGGACAAAGAGCGCAGTGATAGCGCCTTGCCCGTTTTTGGCAGACTGTCACAGCAGCCGGCAGTTTGCCTCTGGCTGAGGCTGTGGATGCCTTTGACTGGTCCCGATGTGCGCTTGTTACGTGCCGGCGGCTCTAAGGATGATAAGCAGCTTTCTGGCTTGGGGTAATCATATTGAAGCGCAAGATGAATTTAACTCATGATTCTTGAGTTCGGAGTCTATGAACTTCATATGATTGAATAATGCGGGTCAACGTGTTGGCAATATGTTACATCGTTGCCCTTGACCAAAATGATGGAAACAAGACAAATATAAAATCCTATAGGTTCAGGGTTGAGCATTCGAGACCTGGTTTCTACCTGGGTGCGTTTTCAAACCTGCGCTTGCCTTGAACGTTGCACTGTCACACGTCATCGTTTGCTCGAGATGTGGCGAGTTTAACGCCAGCAAAAGCGCGACTATATCATGATGACTTTTAGGGATGCTTACGGACTGGAAACCGTCCCGCTTTCTGGCTTGTTTGCACTGTTGAGGTTGGGTTGGGGTAGGGCAATGATCTTCGTGTTGGCATGAGAAAGCTTGCTGGATGATTTGTGGTTCCATTTGGTTACACACCAAACGCTGCATTTGTAAGTCGTCTCCATATACAGCTGACCATTCTTGTATCAGAGTGGACACCAGGACCAACATTCTATCTTTAGAGGGTTCGGCACCCCGTAAGTCGGAGCGTGCTGCCTTAAATTTGAAGAAGAGAAGCGCGCTGTGCGAAAACTGAAGGGCACACCTGGAATTCCCAGGTGGTTATGCCCTTGGACTGTTGAAAACCGGGCAGGTGAACACTCTGCCAAGCCAATTGGGATAAGTTTGACCAAAATGCCCGAGACCATCTCAGTTGCAGGCTCTCCTTTGGACCACATTCCCGGCTCAACATCGCCTCTTCCCGAAAGGGCCATTTCCAGGTGCCATGTTCCCATAAAGGGTGCTGTTCCCAACTTGCGTGTGTCCGTTTGTTTTAGTAGTAGCCCCTGTTGAAAGTACAGAGAACCAGAAAAACCCACCCATTTAGGGGGTCCAATTCTATTTCAGCTTTGTTCTTCGGAGGTTCCAAACAACCACCACCATATTCAAATATTAAACAAAAGGGCCGTGAATTGTAATGAGGAGCACCGTGCCAAATTGTTCCAAATGATGTCCATCAGAGACGCCCCATATAGAAGGTGTATCAAAAGCTGTGACCCCAAAAATGGTTATCTCTGAGAACTGGCTCTGTCTAATTTAATGCAATAAATTTACTGACCAAGAATGCCCTCCCATCCACTAACATTCCACCGACGTTTCGGGGTTCTGGAAGACGATTTCCTGTTAAAAGGACCCTCTGGTGGGTGCCATGTTAGTGGACAAGAGGGTAAACTTTTAACAGGGTACCAAGCGCGACCCTATATTGTGATTTGGATTTTGCCCTGAACCCAACAAGACTTAAGGGAGACCGAGCTTTCAACTTTAACTTCCAGTTGCTTAGGTTTTTGTTGTTTTGTTTTTTTCTCTTACAAAAACACATTTTGGTTTTGAAGGGAATCTAATATTACTGGACTTTTTTTTTATTTTTCGAGGGGGCTTAAACAAATGGAGGTTCAGAGGGCAAAGAGCCCGAGCGCGGTTTTTGGTCCAAAGCTCGCGAGCTGAGGTGCCACCCAGGCCATCAGGCACCGGCTCCAGGTGCGGCTGGGCGCCATGTCCTCCCAGAAGCTGATCACCGGCACCTCGCAGAAAGGGAGACGCCCAAAAGCACCGAAGCCGGAGGGGGGAACCCAGGTTTGGTGGTTTTAAAGGAAAACCAACAGGAAACCATTTCAAGGTTCAGCAAAACTGGTCACATTCCCAGGACGAAAACTGTAGTGCTTGATGTGCCAAAATATGGGTGTGACTGTTTTGGAGGCACGCGACCATGGAACCTGACTGGGATCCTGAGGTGGCCCTCTGGTGGGTTCCATGTTGGGTTCTCACAATCGAAGTTTCTCAAATGTGTTCGTGGACCCCCTTGGCTTTGGAAGGGAAACCCTGAGGAACACCCTTGCCCTTTTAGGAAATGCACCCCTTTGAGAACCCCAAATGGTCACTTCGAATTTCAAGGCTTTTGGGAATAAATCATTCGCGACCCCCCCTAAATACAACCCTCCATTCTGTTTTTTCCTGGACCTTGTCGACCTTGGGGGGGCCTTGTTAATGCGAGGTTAACATTTTAAACTACAAGTGACAAGGGATGGTTTTTGTAGGGGTTCCCGGAAATTCCCGAAGCAGTTGCAACACGTTTTCCCACAGTCGTGGTTGCTCCAAGCCACGTAACCGAAGCACACGGGTAGAAACTTGGGACGCACTTTACATGGGCGTTATTTATTTCCGGACTTGGGTTACTTGTTGTTAGTTTCAACCAGCCTGAGGGGATCAACCTCACATGTGCCGAACTTAAGCTGACAGCTGACCCGTTTGTCCTTTTTGCCCAAGCGGGCCGTTTTGGCTTTCCTTCATATTCCCTCCTCTCCTTTGCACAGCCTGGGCTTCCTTGCCATCAGGCAGGATGCTGGTGAACACGGTAGAAGCGACTCTCAGCCGCAAGCATGAAGCGACGGACATCATCGCAGCACCGGACAATATTCTGGAGTTCCGGAGGGTATCAGTTTTGGGTAGGCCAGAACTAGAACTATCAGTTTTGCGTCAGTTTCTGGTGGTAACATTGTGGGTTGTTGTTTGATTTCAGGGTCGACGGGTTTCCTCCCTGATCCTAACTTCGCTTGATTGGAGCTTCATTGAGCCACCTCGAAAATGCCAAATCCCCTACCCCTGAAGATGGAATTGGGGAGGAGAGATAGATGCCCCCTGTCATTTCATCAATAGTTCCATGTTCCTTTGTGTCTAATAAGAAAAACTGGAAAGCGGGGAACGCCCCACCCCCTATCCTGTGAGGTACCCAGTAGGGGTTGTAACACTTTCAGTGGCAAACAGATTGTGCCCACCATGAGGGACAGCACACTGGAAGCGCAGACACACGAACAAGCTGCCGCTTCGCGATGATGTTTGGGGTCTATAGCGCTCATTCAGAACAACGCTTTGGACTTACGCAGCTTTTGCTTGTCAAGTTGCAAGTTGAGTGTTGCTTGCCTGCCGTTCCTGTTGCTTTCTGCTTTGAACCGTTTGAGCGAGTGTCGCCTTGTGGCAGCATTGATTCAGAGGGGGGGTCACCACGTTCTTGTTTCCAGCGGAGGCTTGTACTGGACTTTAGCCAGGAGGGTTGTAGTTTGTTGAGCAATCCCAGGATATCTAATTGCGCTTGCCGGTGCCCTTGAGACCTAATCATGTTTCATCCCGTTTAGCGCGTGCTTTCAATCAGACTTTGGTTTGGGTTAGCGCAACCCCAAACATACTTGCACCACCCGTGGGTAAACCCGTCCTACATGAGCCTCCTTCTTCACCTTTCCATCAGCGATTGGTGAATGTGGCCAACATCGATGCGCGGCTGAGGTTGGGGTTGACAACCTACACAGAAGAGGACATGAATGAGTTTGTGGCGCGGAAGCAATGACGCAGTTCTCGAGGTAGCCCACCCAAATTCCACCATGCGAAGGGATCACAAGGCTAAGAGGCCCGGATTCCTCCGGAGCCTTGAGGGCTCATGACCCCTTGGGTCGTTTGGTTCTTTCCACCTATGTGTCCACAGTCCGGGGTATTTCGGCTTCTTTGCCTGATGTCAATCGAGTTTCAACCTCGGGCTGGGGGTATCAGAGTTTAAACTCTGAAACTCTGGCTACTCTGTTTCCGAAGCTTGTCGAAAAAGCTTCAGCCTGTGAGAACGAGGCAGAGAGCGAGAGCTTTGTTCGAGGGCTTGGGGCTGTCAAAGGTTTAGATGTTTGGGGCGTATGGACCTTGGCCAGATAGTGGGTTGTGATATCTTCGGACTTGGCAGCGACCTTCCGCTATTCTTCTGAATCATGATGGCCCGTGCTCAATTTGCCACCCAGTCAGTAAGATCGAACCCGGACGAGGGGCAGTCAAAGGAATCTGTCAAGTTCAGTGTGAGCATGTCACTTACTCGAGGTCTGCGCTCTTGCTGACTACATCGACTTGCGATTTGTCAAGAAGGATTGCGCAGGTTTCATGTCGGGCCATTGCTGCTCAAGAGTTTGGGGGACCCCCATGTCACCGTTTTGACATCTTCTTTTTGTGATGCCGGTGATTGGCGGATAGAGCATGTGCTTTCTGGGCAAGTGTTTTGCCAGTCATGCCACGTGCCGCTACTCCAGCAGTGCATTTGGCATGCAAATGACCCATGGCAAGAGCGAAATGAGAGAAAGAGAGAGAGAGAGAGAGGGAGAGAGCAAAAGCCAAAAGCGAGAGCGCAGCTTTGGTGTCGCAGGAAGGAAAGAACGGTTTTCGCCGGAGTACTTCTTCCAGCAACGTCTTCCAGTTCCAGGATGAGGAGAGAGAACAATTTGGCAAGCCTGCAGCTTGTCCAATGGACGAAGGGATACGTCTTGGGCTTTTCCAGCGATCCAGTTCAGTCACCTTTTTGCCTTTTTGCCCCTTTTGTTTTTCGTGTTTCCTAAAAGGAATCAGCCCCAAGACTCAAACGAGAGTCCGTGGTTCTACCATCGGGCAGCCAATATATTTCTTGGCCTTTGCACTGATGCTGTAGGTTATGTCCTTTGGCCCAAATGTGCCGCAATGCCTTTGTTGGTTTGCTCAACGTGAGGAATCAACTTTCTTTCTCGGATGTTGTTCACAATCTCGTCATGACACTGACATGATATTTGGCATCCTTGGTACACTTTGCTTGATCCGCTTCAGCTCGTTCGAGATCGATTAATTTTCAGTTACATCCACAGAGTACAGCCCTCTGGATTGCCCAAACATGGTGCACGGGGCCCGTTAGGCTACTTTCCATCGCTGGGTAATCCGACTTCACTTGCCCCAAAGCGGCGACAAAGCGGCGACCTTGTCAGGACTCATGGCATTCAACCAGCGCGAATACGGAGGAACGCAGTCGTTTCGTTCTGACATCAAGTTTATTTGTGCGGGTTCGACGGTATTCACTTGTAGTTTTCAAGGTGCAGGGCACAAGATTGCCCAAGATATGTTGAAACCCGTGCTTTCTTTGTAGCAAGGCTGTACCGCAAGAAGGGTAGTTTTGTGCCCTCTTTTCCAAGCTCTTGGCATATCATGGAGATGCCGAGGTGTGGCATTGGCCGCAAGAAGGCGAATCTTGCCAGGCGGGTGGGATCCTTCTTTTTCGTTGGGCGAGGTTTCGCTTATTCTTTCGGCTGGCCCCTTCTTTTCCCGTGGCCACGCTGTTGCTTCTGAATGAAAGAAACCTTCAAGAACTAAGACCAGATGGAAGCCCAGGAGTCCGCTGCTCCAGTATTAGGGGGCGAAAGAAAGTTATGAAGGCCGGTCGATTGGCTGAATGTTGCGAGAGACAAGGTGGCAATGGCCTGGGCATGTAGTGCTTAAAATTCTGGGATTTGCAAATGTTAGGCCGGAGAAATCAACTGCTTTAAGTTTGAGTGTCAGGCTCAGCGATTGGATGAGAGTGGTCCCCGTCGTGTTGGATAACATTTTTGCACGTAGGTTTGCAGATTTGTCTTAGGCAAATGGTGCTAAGATTGGACACTGAACGATTGTGACGTGCAAGATTGAGTTTGGGAGTCATGAGTCCCCCTGATTGAGAGTTTTTTTGGGGGGCAAAAAATGTGATTTCCCCTCGGTTCTCTTAAAACCACCAAACAAAGGGTACCTCAAAAAACGACAGACCCCGCCCCGCCAGTTTGACACACACACACACACAAACCTTTACCTCTATGTGCTAGCATCTCACACTGAGCCCGACGATGGGGATGAACCGTCACATTCTCTGGAGCTTGTCACATGGTGAGAAATGGGGGGGGACGTTCATGGCCGCTTTCTGTGATACTAAGGGAATCCCCTGTAAAGCTGTAAAGTCATATCACAGAAATCGTGATTGGTTATTTTTCACAATGGCTTGTGATTCCGCCAGGTTAGCAAAGACTCCCAGTGGGCCAAGCCCCGCGCACCCAATCAGCAACCCGTCGTGCCTCTGAAAGTACTCTCAGAAATCTTCGTGACGAAGCGCCTTGGCAAATGCAGGGAGCCAGAGGTGATTGTAGAGTTTTGGGTTTCGCTCTTTTGGGTGGTCCGAGTGCAGCACTGAGTGCAGTTTCTGAGCGACCTTAAGTTGCGGGTACGCTTCAGCTTTCAGGCAAATTTATGCAAGTGATTGCTTGCACAATTAATTCCAAGCGTTCTTTCTTGTGACAGCAGGCAAGGTACCAGATGTTTTTACACACTTGAGCAGAACCTTGTTGATAGTTTATTATTTACCGTTGGTTCTACTACCCAGCTGGATAGGGGTTATCGATAGGCTAATTTAAGCCTTTATAGCCTTCATAAGCATCTTAGTAGAAGCAACGGTTAGCCTAGGTTTTGGGCGCTCGCTTGGCTACGCCCGCGGTCATCGGCAAGCATGATCACGCAAGCACTGTTTTGACATTGGGGCGAACATTCGATCACCAGTCTAATGATTTAATGGCGTTGTTCCAACCTGGTGCTCGTCAACCTCTGGTTCGGTTGCTTCTGACTGAGGGCTCTAAGGCCTCGGAGACTCCTCCAAACATCTTCTTGGAGAGGTTGGCTCGTGTGGTCTTTGCAACTCGCCGAGCCCTTTTTTTGTTTCAGCGGGGGGGTTCTCATGGGTGACTCGGGTGTTGGATTGTGTCTATCTTGCTTGGTAGTTGTCACTTCTACTTCGGCTGCGCTTCTGCATTCGCTTCTGCTTCCTCTGACGTTGCTGTGGAATCGGCTCTCCATGCTCCTGCCGTTCCAAATTGCGGCCCCTTTACGAGCACCAATCTAGAGTTTGGCTGATATTGATGCACATTCTCTCAACCCATTGTTCTGTTTGAACAGGTACTTTTCCGATGTCTCGATGATCTTATGGAAATATGAATCCGCACAACACCATAGGGGAATTAGTCCTAGAACTAAGTATTTGCGATGTAACCTTTATTGCCTGAGCGCATCCGGGCACTGCCTCCCAGAAAGCAGCGGAGTCAACCAGAACCTGTTATATTGGCAACAATGTTGAATGAAAACGCATTGCAGCCGCTGGGGAGGTACCACTTTTTTACCCGCAGACGAAGACGAATTGCGAAGACGAATTCCCGAAAACGAATTCCAACCCGAAGACGAATTGCGAAGACGAATTCCCGAAGCCGAATTCCGTCCCGAAGCCGAATTTCCCCCCGAAGGCGAATTGCGAAGACGAATTCCCCAAGACGAATTCCAACCCGAAGACGAATTGCGAAGACGAATTCGCCGGAGCCAAGCTCCCTCCCGAAGCCGAATTCCTCCCGAAGACGAATTGCGAAGGCAATTTCCCGAAGACGAATTCCCCCCCGAAGACGAATTGCGAAGACGAATTCTCCGAAGCCGAATTCTCCCCCGAAGCCGAATTCACCCCCGAAGACGAATTGCGAAGACGAATTCGCCGAAGCCGAATTCTCCCCCGAAGCCGAATTCCCTCCCGAAGACGAATTGCGAAGACAATTCGCCGGAGCCAAGTTCCCTCAAGAACACGGGTTCCCCTAATGAATGCCGTTGAGCAAGCATGCTGACAGCGAGCGTTTGTGGTAATTTCGTTCCCTTACCATAGACGGCGCCCTACATAGTAGATGCTTTTGTCAAAGCCCAATCCTTCACTAGAATAGTTCATGCAATTTGAAACCAGTATTGATCTATCGATGGTTTTCTTCTAGGAGGCCCGCTGCCCTCAGCCAGTCAGCGTTTGTTAGAAAAGAAGACCCTTCCTTGAAAACAGTTTTTGTTAGACCTCTCGGCTTTGACCCTGTCCCCGTCAGAAGTGCAAAAAGCACATCACTGAACACCCAGCGCCTGGAACCGGGGACCCCTAATAATATAAGACGTTATAATTGCGCAGTTGGCATGTTTGGGTTGTTTTCTGATGAGGGGAAGGGATTAGTCTAGCAGGGGGTCGCGCAGATGATGCCTTCTCCTCTTTCGAGGGTTTCCTTCTCGTCCCCCTAAGAATAGAGGGCCCCCTAGATAGTAGATGTTCGATTGGACTCTCCGGACACCCAACAAAGTGCAAGTTCTGATATTAGCCATGACCTATCACATTCATCCTGGAAGGAAGTTGGTCATGCCGTGTGGTCCAAAGACGGAGAAAAGAAGAGATCGTCATCAGCTTCATTATCGACACCGAGAAGGAGCGTTAAGGGCGTCATGAGTCCTGTGAGAAAGGAAGAAGGGCGATCCAAATCGCCTACAGGCTCTAGTCCGTCTAAGATCACTCAGGAGAACAAGACCCTCAAACAGGAAGTGGAGGAGGCTAAGCGCAATTTGGCTATGCGACAGGAGTCATATGAACGTGACGACCAGGGCAATGTCACGCGCATCTCCAGGAACTGGAACGGAGAGCCGGTATGTCGGAACAACAAGTAGCCCGTATCCTCAAAAGATCCAACGAACAACTTCGAGAAGCTGCTCAATACATTGACATTCAACGTGGGAAGACAAAGCTATCCGAAGATCAGGCACAACACCTCGTGAAGATCTACGGAGAGTATCAAGACGAAGCCCGACTTAAAGTCCTCGAGTACAAGAAGCGACATCAGGAGATGGCCGCGACCGTGAATCTGCTTGAACATCGAATCAGGAGCGAGGAAGAAAGCTCATTGGTCAGCAAGAGTAAGGCTGAACAAGAAAGAAGGAGCACTTCTTCCGAGATCGCTCAGTATCAATCAATGATCAACTCCTCCCAGGTGAAGATCACTACGGACTCGCAGAACGAGGAGAACACCATTCGTGGTTTGCGTGAGAGACTGGAGACAGCGTTGTTGCCGCAACCGAAAATGGCGATCGATGACGAGCCACAAAACATATTGGTGAGCAAAGCAAATGATGCTATCAGGTACGCTGAACAAGAAGCCCATTGCACACGGGTTGCCGTGAGCGAACGGGATGAGATGTATTTGATTGGACAACGTGCAGTACAGGAACGCGACGCGAAGATGAATGAGGAGATCAAGATCGCTAGAGATCGAGCTCATCAAGGAAACGCATTACATGATCGCGCCACGCTGAGGGATCAGGAGTTTGTCGACGTGACTCGCGAACTCGCAGCATCAAGACAAAAGGCTATTGATGCGAAATCCGATTGCCTCAGCCAGATCGCTGCAATGTCCGAAGAAATCGAAGAGACACGACAAGAACTCAAGATCCAAGAGAGCTTTGTGTACCAGTTGGCAGAGACGAACAAGGAACTCGAGAGCGAGAATGCCACCCAAATGGCCATCGCGGCGGATGCCAAAGATCGTGGACGAGCTCTACTGAGGGATGACTCCGTTAGGACCGGTAAACGCCACAATTCGAAGATGCGTAAGAGTGATACCACAAATGGGCCTCGGCAACAACAAGGTCAGGTAATGCTCTATCAGACTACAATGGCGGCATCTAGGTCTAGTGCACAGGCACCCAATGTTCTTAAGCCAATTGATTACAGCCTTGGACCGGGTTCTGTTTTGTTTCCTGTTTACCAAGACCCAATGATACAGGCTCATATCGACCAACTCCATGAGGCGGTAGGATCTATTCCAAACAAGAGATTTGGTTCAACCGGCAATAATGGAGGTGGTGGTGGTCATGGAGATGGCGGTCCACCTGGTCTCGGTTATCACAATAACGCGGGGGGTCTAGGACGTGCTCCTGTCCCAGCTGCAACAGGAGGGCCAAATCCACCTGATCGGCCTGACGACGATGATGATGGAGACGAGGACGACGAAGAGGAACCGTCCGATGATGATGATGATGATGATGATGATGATGATGATGATGATCGCCGTCGCAACAGAAGATCACCGCGAAGAAGAAGGTCGAGAGATCGCAGAGATCATGACAATGGTCGACCAAGGATATCACAGAAGGAAGCTGAGAGAGTCAATGTACCTCCATGGCCGAAGATCACGAAGCTGGACAGCTGGAAGATGGCACTCACCATGAACGTCACCAGTGCTTCAGCAGACCCTGATACCGAAGAATAGGCAATATTGCGGAATGCAATTGATGTTGATGAGGAAGGAAAGATTCAACCAAAGAAGAAGGATGGCACCGGTAGCTCGAAGGACGCCGCACCTGCAGAAAGTACAAAGGTCAACGCTCCGAGCGCTAAGAGAACCAAAGCGACGCTCAAAGTGGGTGGTGATCAGTGGTTGTACGACTGGGGCATACGGAAGAACACAAATAAGGTCAAGAACCCTGTTGAGGGAAAGTTCTTGGCGGACCTGGATTGGACGAGGATCATTGTCAACCCGGTCGATGGGTCAGTCTTGCGCATGGACTCCAAACGTCTTCAAGATCTTGGTGCAACCAATGTGACATTGGACGAGGTCTATGGAATCCTGGTGGTTATCTACGCATGGAAGTTTACTCCAAGGGAAGGTCTCGCATCTATCCCAAAGAACGACCATGATCCCTGTCGCTTAGAGCTTCCGGACAAAGGAAATCTTGTATTGGGACCTTGTAGGTTCATGTGACCGCCAGATGTCGACCGCAAAGAATCGGCGCACCCAGAAAAGTCAGCATCAGCATAAACTGCCAAACACATATCTTCGACTGAATCTCCGACCCAGCCAATCATCCTCCAATGCTTGGTGCGATGAATGTAACACATCAAGTGATGAAGTTTCTTATCATCGTCGGTTGTCCACCTGGTGATGTTCCTCGCCAGACGGTTGACCTGCCTGAGTAAGTCAAAACGTGCAATTCTAGCACCATACAATATTTTCATGAGCACACTTGCCGCATGAGGTGCGAGTTGTCTCCGGATGAGCTCCTTCCGAAGTCCCTCCTGCTTGGCATGATGGAGTTTCATAACCATTCGCGGGAACTCTGTTTCCAAAGTGGGGGAACGTTTGCCAAGACCGACCAATGCTGGAAGCCACGTTCCTGAAGTTTGTCAGGGAGAACATGACTTCTCACATGACGGGCCTCAACAGGAAGAGAAGCGGCGCAGTCAAGTACATGGAAGTTCCCAGCAGGACCGTCAGGGACAT